GGGGGATGAATTTTGATGGCGACTTTTGGGGGGATGCATTCGGTTACCGCATTTTTGGGGTGCTGGATTTTGGGATTTGGGGGTGAATTTTGGGGGCGGGTGGAATTTTTTTGAGGTCTGAACCTCGAAATGTGAATTTTGGGGTCGAATTTTGGGGTCAGAAATTTGGGGTCTGGATTTTGGGGGGAGGCTCAACTCTGAAGGGTGAATTTTGGAGCCTGAATTTTGGGGGGCTCGACTTGGAAGGGTGAATTTTGTGGGGTCAATTTTTTGGGCTGAATTTTAGGGCTGAATTTCGGGGCTCAGTTTTGGGGGGCCCAACTTTGAAGGGTGAATTTTTGTGGGGTGAATTTTGGGGTTGAATTTCGGGGCTCAGTTTTGGGGGGCCCAACTTTGAAGGGTGAATTTTTGTGGGGTGAATTTTGGGGTTGAATTTCGGGACTGAAATTTTGGGGGCCCAACTTCGAAGGGTGAATTTTGTGGGGTGAATTTCCTGCTCAGAAGTTTTGGGGTGAATTCCTAGGGATGAATTTTGTGGGGTGAATCTCGTGGCCGGAATTTTTGGGGTGACATTCCTAGGCCTGAACTTTTGGGGTGAAACTCTGAAGGGCGAATTTTGTGGGGTGAATTTTGGGGCTGAATTTCAAGGGCTCAAATTTGGGGGGCTCAACTCTGAAGGGCGAATTTTGTGGGGTGAATTTCATGGGCGGAATTTTTGGGGTGAATTCCTCGAGCTGAACTTTTGGGGGCTCAACTTTGAAGGGTGAATTTTGTGGCTGAATTTCGGGGCTCAAATTTGGGGGCTGAACTCTGAAGGGTGAATTTTTGGGGTGAATTTTGGGGGGCCTAACTCTGAAGGGTGAATTTTGTGGGATGAATTCCTTGGGCTGAACTTTTGGGGGCTCAACTTTGAAGGGTGAATTTTGTGGGGTGAATTTTGGGATTGAATTTTAGGGCTGAATTTCGGGGCTCAGTTTTGGGGAGCCCCAACTTTGAAGCGTGAATTTTTTAGGCTGAATTTCGTGACCAGAATTTTCGGGGTGAATTTCGAGGGCTGAACTTTTGTGGGCCCAACTTTAAAAGGTGAACAATTTGGGGTGAATCTCGAGGCCGGAATTTTTGAAGGGTGAATTCCTTGGGCTGAATTTTGAAGGGCGAATCCCGACAGGTGAATCCTGACGGCCGGAATTTGAAGGGTGAAATTTGGAGGGTGAATTTTGAAAGGTGAATTTTGAAAGGTGAATTTTGAAGGGTGAATTTTGAGGGGTGAATTTTGAAGGGTGAATTTTGAGGGGTGAATTTTGAAAGGTGAATTTTGAAGGGTGAATTTTGAAAGGTGAAATTTGAAGGGTGAATTTTGAAGGGTCAATCCTGAAGGCTCCATCCCGACGAGTGAAATTTGAAGGGTGAATTTTGAAAGGCGGATTCTGAAGGGTGAATTTTGGGAGGTGAATCCTGAAGGGTGGAATTTGAAAAGGTGGATTTCGAGAGGTGAATCCTGACGAGTGAAATTTGAAGGGTGAATCCTGAAGGGTGAAATTTGAGAGGTGAATCCTGAAGGGTGAATTTTGAGAGGTGAATCCTGAAAGGTGAAATTTGAAGGGTGAATTTTGAAAGGTGAATTTTGAAGGGTGAATTTTGAAGGGTGAATTTTAAAGGGTGAATCCCAACGGGTGAATTTTGAAGGGTCAATCCTGAAGGCTCCATCCCGACGAGTGAAATTTGAAGGGTGAATTTTGAAAGGCGGATTCTGAACGGTGAATTTTGAGAGGTGATTCTTGAAGTGTGGAATTTGAAAGGTGGATTTCGAAAGGTGAATCCTGACGAGTGAAATTTGAAGGGTGAATCCTGAAAGGTGAAATTTGAAGTGAGAATTTTGAAAGGTGAATCCTGAAGGGCGAATCCTGACAGGTGAATTTTGAAGGGTGAACTTTGAGAGGTGAATCCTGACAGGTGAATTTTGAGGGGTGAATCCTGACAGGTGAATTTTGAAGGGTGAACTTTGAGAGGCGAATCCTGACAGGTGAACTTTGAGGGGTGAATCCTGACAGGTGAATCTTGAGAGGTGAATCCTGAAGGGTGAACTTTGAGAGGCGAATCCTGACAGGTGAATCTTGAGAGGTGAATCCTGACAGGTGAATTTTGAGAGGTGAAATTTGAGAGGTGAATCCTGAAGGGTGAATTTTGAGAGGTGAATCCTGAAAGGTGAAATTTGAAGTGAGAATTTTGAGAGGTGAATCCTGAAGGGCGAATCCTGACAGGTGAATTTTGAGAGGTGAATCCTGACAGGTGATTTTTGAGGGGTGAATCCTGAAGGGCGAATTTTGAAGGGTGGATCCTGACAGGTGAATTTTGAAGGGCGAATCCTGAAGGGCGAATCCTGACAGGTGGAATTTGAAGAGTGAATTTTGAAAGGTGAATCCTGAAGGGCGAATCCTGACAGGTAAATTTTGAGAGGTGAATCTTGAGAGGTGAATCTTGAGAGGTGAATCCTGACAGGTGAATCTTGAGAGGTGAATCCTGACAGGTGAATTTTGAGTGGCAAATCCTGACAGGTGAATTTTGAGGGGTGAATCCTGACAGGTGAATTTTGAGGGGCGAATCCTGACAGGTGAACTTTGAGAGGTGAATCCTGACAGGTGAATTTTGAGAGGTGAATCCTGACAGGTGATTTTTGAGGGGTGAATCCTGAAGGGCGAGCCCTGCCGGCCTGAAGGCTCCATCCCGACGAGTGAAATTTGAAGGGTGAATTTTGAAAGGCGGATTCTGAAGGGTGAATTTTGGGAGGTGAATCCTGAAGGGTGGAATTTGAAAAGGTGGATTTCGAGAGGTGAATCCTGACGAGTGAAATTTGAAGGGTGAATTTTGAAAGGCGGATTCTGAAGGGTGAATTTTGGGAGGTGAATCCTGAAGGGTGGAATTTGAAAAGGTGGATTTCGAGAGGTGAATCCTGACGAGTGAAATTTGAAGGGTGAATCCTGAAGGGTGAAATTTGAGAGGTGAATCCTGAAGGGTGAATTTTGAGAGGTGAATCCTGAAAGGTGAAATTTGAAGTGAGAATTTTGAGAGGTGAATCCTGAAGGGCGAATCCTGACAGGTGGAATTTGAAGAGTGAATTTTGAGAGGTGAATCCTGAAGGGCGAATCCTGACAGGTGGAATTTGAAGAGTGAATTTTGAGAGGTGAATCCTGAAGGGCGAATCCTGACAGGTAAATTTTGAGAGGTGAATCTTGAGAGGTGAATCTTGAGAGGTGAATCCTGACAGGTGAATCTTGAGAGGTGAATCCTGACAGGTGAATTTTGAGTGGCAAATCCTGACAGGTGAATTTTGAGGGGTGAATCCTGACAGGTGAATTTTGAGTGGCGAATCCTGACAGGTGAACTTTGAGAGGTGAATCCTGACAGGTGAACTTTGAGTGGCGAATCCTGACAGGTGAATTTTGAAGGGTGAACTTTGAGAGGTGAATCCTGACAGGTGAATTTTGAGAGGTGAATCCTGACAGGTGATTTTTGAGGGGTGAATCCTGACAGGTGATTTTTGAGGGGTGAATCCTGAAGGGCGAGCCCTGCCGGCCGCAATCCGAGGCGCCCATCCCGACGGAAGCTCCATCCCGCCGGATCACCCCTCGGGGCCGAACTCGGCGGGGCTGAACTCGGGGGCTGACCTCTCCCCCTGCATCCCGGAGGGGCGAATTCCGCCCGGAGGAGCCTCCAGAGCGGGGCGGGCTCTGCCGGGCGGGGGTCGCGGCCCCTCAGGGGCGCAGGGGGCTGAGGGGCGCCGCGGCCCCCTTGAAGCAGGCGGACTCGTAGTGCTTGTTGAGATAGGATTTGAGGGCGAAGGTTTTGCTGCAGCGCTTGCACTTGAAGTGCTTGAAGGCCGAGTGGGTCTGCATGTGGGCGCGCAGGTTGGAGCGGTCGGCGAAGGCTTTGCCGCAGTGCGCGCAGCCGAACGGCTTCTCGCCGGTGTGCGAGCGCATGTGGCCCTGCAGCAGCCAGGGCCGGCTGAACGCCTTGCCGCACACCTGGCACTTGTGCTTCAGGTCGTGCGTCAGCAGGTGCATGGCCATGGCCGGCATGGAGACGTACACCTTGCCGCAGGTGGGACACTTCTTGGCCATCTTGCTGTCCAGGCTGCGGTGGGTCTGCTTGTGGCGGCTCAGGTTGGACGAGGTGGCGTAGCTCTTGCCGCACTCGCCGCACGTGTGGCGGGGCAGGCTCCGCGCCGCCGCGCCGCTCACCTTGCGCCGGGAGCGGCCGTCCGTGATGAAGAAGGCGTCCACGGCGTAGCCCTCGCTCACGGCCGCGTCGCCGTTGATGTAGCCGCCGGCCATGCCCGAGCCGGGGCTGTCGGGGGGCTCCGAGTCGCCCCCGCCGAAGTCGCCGCGGCCGCCGGGGTACAGCGAGCCCGGGGACGGCACCTTGAGCGCGGCCTCGGCGTCGCCCTCGAAGGCCGAGGGGGCCATGTAGTCGCTGAGGTACCCTGGGGACAGCGCGGGGACAGCGGTCAGGGACGGGGTGGCGCTGGGGACGCGCGGGGGGGAGCTGGGGGCCCTGGGTGTCACCCTGGTTGTCCCCTGTGTGTCCCTCCTGTGTCCCCCTGTTTGTCCCGTGTCTGTCCCTCCTGTGTCCCCCTGTGTGTCCCATGAATGTCCCGTGTCTGTCCCTTCTGTGTCCCCCTGTGTGTCCCTTGTGTGTCCCTCCTGTCCCCTGTTTGTCCCCTGTGTGTGGCTCGTGTGTCCCCTGTCTATCCCTCCTGTGTCCCCTGTGTGTCCTGTGTCTGTCACTCCTGTGTCACCCTGGTTATCCCCTGTGTGTCCCCCTGAGTGTCCCATATCTGTCCCTCCTGTGTCCCCCTGTGTGTCCCATATCTGTCCCTCCTGTGTCCCCCTGTGTGTCCCCTGGCTGTCCCGTGTTTGTCCCCTGTGTGTCCCCCTGTGTGTCCCTTGTGTGTCCCTTCTGTCCCCTTGTGTGTCCCCCTGTGTCCCCTGTGTGTCCCCTGTGTGTCCCTCCTGTGTCCCCCTGTTTGTCCCGTGTGCGTCCCGTGTGTCCCTCCTGTGTCCCCCTGTGTGTCCCCTGGCTGTCCCGTGTTTGTCCCCTGTGTGTCCCCCTGTGTGTCCCCTGGCTGTCCCGTGTTTGTCCCCTGTGTGTCCCCCTGTGTGTCCCCTGGCTGTCCCGTGTTTGTCCCCTGTGTGTCCCCCTGTGTGTCCCCTGGCTGTCCCGTGTTTGTCCCCTGTGTGTCCCCCTGTGTGTCCCCTGGCTGTCCCGTGTTTGTCCCCTGTGTGTCCCCCTGTGTGTCCCCTGGCTGTCCCGTGTTTGTCCCCTGTGTGTCCCCCTGTGTGTCCCCTGGCTGTCCCGTGTTTGTCCCCTGTGTGTCCCCCTGTGTGTCCCCTGGCTGTCCCGTGTTTGTCCCCTGTGTGTCCCCCTGTGTGTCCCCTGTCTGTCCCTCCTGTGTCCCCCTGTTTGTCCCGTGTGTGTCCCCTGTGTCCCTCCTGTCCCCCTGTGTGTCCCTCCTGTGTCCCCCTGGCTGGTCCGTGTGTGTCCCTCCTGTGTCCCTCTGGTTGTCCCCTCCTGTGTCCCCTCCTGTGTCCCCCGTCTGTCCCTCCTGTGTCCCCCTGTGTCCCCCGTGTGTGTCCCGTGTGTGTCCCGTGTGTGTCCCGTGTGTGTCCCTCCTGTGTCACCCTGGTTATCCCCTGTGTGTCCCCATTTGTCCTGTGTGTCCCTTCTGTGTCCCCCTGTTTGTCACGTGTCTGTCACTCCTGTGTCCCCCTGTGCGTCCCGTGTGTGTCCCTTCTGTGTCCCCCCTGTGTCCCCCTGGCTGTCCCTCCTGTGTCCCTTCTGTGTCCCACTGGCTCCCCCTGGCTGTCTCCTTTGTCGCTGCGTGTCCCTCCTGTGTCCCCCTGTGTGTCCCCCTGGTTGTCCCACCCTGTGTGCCCTGTCTGTCCCGTGTCTGTCCCTCCTGTGTCCCTTCTGTGTCCCCCTGCGTGTCCCCCTGTGTCTCCCTGGCTGTCCCTCCTGTGTCCCTTCTGTGTCCCACTGGCTCCCCCTGGCTGTCTCCTTTGTCGCTGCGTGTCCCTCCTGTGTCCCCCTGTTTGTCCCTCCTGTGTCCCCCTGTCTGTCCCGTGTCTGTCCCTCCTGTGTCCCCCTGTGTGTCCTGTGTCCCCTGCCCCCCATCTGCCCGTCCCCCTGTCTGTCCCCTGCTTGTCCCCTTGTCTGTCACACTCTGACACTGCTTGTCCCCCGCCTGTCCCCTTGTCTGTCCTGTCACCTCTCTGTCACCCGCCTGTGCCCTGCTTGTCCCCCTGTCGGTCCCCCTTCCCGGCCCCCTGTCCATCCCCTGTCTGTCCCTCTGTCTGTCCCCTTCTCTGTCACACTGTCCCCCGGTCTGTCCCCCTTCCTGACCCCCGGCCCATCCCCCTGCCACACTGCGCCCGACTCGACTCCTGCCCTTGTCCCTTGTCCCTTGTCCCTTGTCCCTTGTCGCTCATCTCTTGTCCCTTGTCCCCGTCCCCCCATCCCCCAAAAATCCCGCACACCCCCACACCCACCGCCCTCCCCACGTCAGCCCTGCCTGTCCCCTGTCCCCTGTCCCTGTCCCCTCTCCCCTATCCCTGTCCCGTGTCCCCATCCTGCCGCTGGTTCCCTGTCTCTGCTCTTTGCCCCTGTCCCTGTCCCTGTCCCCTGTTCCCTGTCCTCCTGTCCCCCTGTCCCTGTCCCCTGTCTCTGTCCCTTGTCCCTGCCCTTAACCCCTTGTCTCTGTCCCTGTCCCTGCCCTCACCCCCTGTCCCTGTCCTTTCACCCTGTCCCCATCCCTGTCCCTGTGCCAGTCCCGTGTCCCCGTCCCCATCCCTGCCCTTAACCCCTTGTCTCTGTCCCTTTCCCCTGTCCCTGTCCCTGTCCCTGCTGCCAGCCCTGCCCTTTCCCCTGTCCCCTGTCCCCATCCCCATCCCTGTCCTTAACCCCTTGTCTCTGTCCCTGTCCTTGTCCCCTGTCCCCTGTCCCTGTCCCTTCCCGCAGCCCCCTGTCCCCATCCCTGCCCGTGTCCCTGTCATTGTCGCTGCCATTGGCTCCTGTCCCTGTCCCCTACTCCTGACGCTGTCCCCATCCCTGTCCCCTCAGTCCCGAACCCGGACTCTCTCCCTGTCCCCTGTCCCCATCCCTGTCATTGGCTCCTGTCCCTGTCCCTTGTCCCTGTTCCCATCCCTGCCCGCATCTCTGTCCCCTGTCCCTTGTCCCCGCATTCCTGTCCCCATCCCTGCCATTGGCTCCTGTCCCTGTCCCTTGTCCCTGTTCCCATCCCTGCCCGCATCTCTGTCCCCTGTCCCTTGTCCCCGCATTCCTGTCCCCATCCCTGCCGCTGGCTTCCTGTCCCTTGCCTTGTCGCTGTCCCTGTCCCTGTCCCTGTGCCCTTGTCCCTGTGCCCTGTCCCTGTGCCCTGTGCCTGTCACTGTGCCCTGTCCCTGTGCCTGTCCCTGTCCCTGTGTCCTGTGCCCTGTCCCTTGTCGCTGTCTCTGTCCCTGTGCCCTTGTCCCTGTCCCCGCAGTCCCGGCCACTGTTCCCTGTCCCCGCAGTCCCTGTCCCCATCGCTGCCCGCATCTCCGCTCTGTTCCTTGTCTCTGTCCTCTTGTCCCCTGTCCCTTGTCCCCTGTCCGGGTCCCCATCCCTGCCCCCAACCCCCCGCACCTCTTCCTCCCCTTGTCCTTGTCCCTCACCCCTGTCCCCGCAGTTCCTGTCCCCTGTTCCCGCAGTCTTTGTCCCCTGTCCCAGTCCCTGTCCCCGCAGTTCCTGTCCCCTGTCCCTGCAGTCCCTGTCCCCTGTCCCCGCAGTCCGCGTCCCCTGTCCCCGTCCCTCCTTCTTCCATCTCCGCATCGCTGCCCTCACCTGCTGTCCCTTCCCTTGTCGCTGTCCCTGCGCCAGCATCCCCTGTCCCTTCCCTTGTCACCGTCCCTTCCCTTGTCGCTGTCCCTTCCCTTGTCACTGTCCCTTCCCTTGTCGCTGTCCCCATCGCTGCCCTCACCCCGTTGTCCCTTCCCTTGTCGCTGTCCCTTCCCTTGTCGCTGTCCCCGTCCCTGCGGCAGCATCCCCAGTCCCTTCCCTTGTCGCTGTCCCCGTCCGTGCCCGCAGCCCGGTCCCTGCCTCCCGCATCCCGTCCCTTCCCCTGTGGCCGCTGTCCTTTCCCCCGTGTCCCTTTCCCCGTGTCCCTTCCCCTGTGTCCCTTCCCCTGTGTCCCTCCCCCTGTGGCCGCTGTCCCTTCCCCTGTGTCCCTCCCCCGGTGTCCCTCCCCCTGTGGCCGCTGTCCCTTCCCCTGTGTCCCTCCCCCGGTGTCCCTCCCCCTGTGGCCGCTGTCCCTTTCCCTGTGTCCCTTCCCCTGTGTCCCTTCCCCTGTGGCCGCTCCCCTGTGTCCCTTCCCCTGTGTCCCTTCCCCTGTGTCCCGGCGGCGGCGGCGCGGCGGAATGCGGCGGTTCCCGGCCGGGGGAAGGGGGGCCCGCGGGGCCCGGCGGGGCCCGGCGCTCGGTATTTACCCTTCTCGTGCAGCCGGGAGCCGAAATCCGCCCGGGCGCGGCCGTACGGGGCGTCGAGGCCGGCGGGGAAGTCATCGAGCTTCACCTTCTTCACCAGGAACGACCTGGGCATGGTTCCTCCGGGGACCGGGCCCGGCCCCGCCGCCACAAAGGGCCCCCCCCGGGCGGGGGGGCGCGGGCGGGGGGTGCCGAACCGAGCTACGGCTTTGTGCGGCGGGCGCGGCCGCCCAGCTCCGGGCCGGGGCCGCCCGCAGCCGACCGGGGTTCGGGGAGGGATAGGATCGGGAGAATCCCGGGATTTGGGGAGGGATGGGAGCCGGGAGAATCCCGGGATTCGGGGAGGGATGGGAGCCGGGAGAATCCCGGGATTCGGGGAGGGATGGGAGCCGGGAGAATCCCGGGATTCGGGAAGCGATCGGAGATGGGAGAATCCCGGGATTCGGGGAGATTGGAGCCGGGGGAATTCCGAGATTCGGGGAGCGATGGGAGCCGGGAGAATCCCGGGATTTCGGGGAGAATTGGGAGCTTTAGGACCCGGGAGAATCCCGGGATTCGGGGAGCGATCAGAGCCGGGAGAATCCCGGGACTCGGGAAGAGCTTGGAACCGGGAGAATCCCGGGGTTTGGGGGGAAATGGGGAGCTTTAGGAGCCGGGGGAATCCCGGGATTTGGGGAGCGATCGGAGCCGGGAGAATCCCGGGATTCGGGGGGGAATGTGGAGGGATTGGAGCTCGGAGAATCCCGGAATTCGGGGAGCGGTTGGAGCCGGGGGAATCCCGGGATTTGGGGAGCGTTAGGATCGGGAGAATCCCGGGATTTGGGGAGCGAACAGAGCCGGGAGAATCCCGGGATTTGGGGGGGAATTGCGAGCTTTAGGACCCGGGGGAATCCCGGGATTTGGGGAGCGATTGGAGCCGGGGGAATCCCGGGATTTGGGGAGCGATGGGAACCGGGAGAATCCCGGGATTTGGAGGGAGATTGGAGCCGTGAGAATCCCGGCATTCGGGGAGATTGGAGCCGTGAGAATCCCGGCATTCGGGGAGATTGGAGCCGGGGGAATCCCGGGATTCGGGGGGCGGCGGGAGCCGGGAGAATCCCGGGATTTGGGGAGCGATCGGAGCCGGAAGAATCCCGGGATTTGGGGAGCGATGGGAACCGGGAGAATCCCGGGATTTGGGGGGAAATGGAGAGGGAATGCATCTCGGAGAATCCCAAGATTTGGGGGGAATTGGGAGCTTTAGAACCCAGAAGAATCCAGGAATTTGGGGAGAGATTGGAGCCGGGGAAATCCCGGAATTTTTTTTTTTTTATATTTGGGACCTTTAGGACCCGGGAGAATCCCGGAATTTTTGGGGGTATTTGGGAGAATTGGGAGCTTTAGGATCAGGAGAATCCCGGAATTTCGGGGATTGTGGGACCTTTAGGAGCCGGGAGAATCCCGGAATTTTGGGGGGATTTGGGAGCTTTAGGAGCCGCGAGAATCCCAAAACGGAATTTTGGGGAATTTGGGGGATCCCTCAGAGCCGGGAGAATCCCAAAACTGAATTTTGGGGGAATTGGGAAATCTGGGAACTCTGAGAATCCCAAAATTGAATTTTGGGGCAATTGGGAAATCTGGAACCTGGGAAAATCCCAGAATTGAATTTTGGGGGAATTGTGAAATCTGGGAACTCTGAGAATCCCAAAACTGAATTTTGGGGGAATTGGGAACTCTGGGTCTTGGGAGAATCCGAAAATTGAATTTTTGGGGGAACTTTGGGAGCAGAGGGAGAGCTGGATTTGGGGTTAAAAGGGGAAAAATGGAGAAAATGGGTGAATTTTTGGGGGAACTTTGGGAGCAGAGGGAGAGCTGGATTTGGGGTTAAAAGGGGAAAAAACGGGGAAAATGGGAATAAAGGGGAAATGGGAATGGGGAAAATGGGAATAATGGGAAAAATTGGAATGGGAGAAATGGGATAAATGGGAATGATGGGAATGGGGAAATGGGAAAAATGGAAACATGGGAAAATGGGGATGGGGAGAAATGGGGAAAATGGGAAAATTCGACAAGTGGGAATAATGGGAATGGGGAAAATGAGAATGGGATTGGGGAAAATGGGAACGGGAAAATGGGAATGGGATTGGGAATGGGGAAAATGGAATAAATGGGAATAATGGGAATGGGGAAATGGGAAAAAAGGGAATAATGGGAATAATGAGGAAAATGGGGAAAATGGGACTGGGGGAAATGGAGAAAATTGGAATAATGGGATAAATGGGAATGGGGAAAAATGGGATAAATAGGAATAATGGGAATGGGGGAAATGGGAAAAAGGGAGGAAATGGGAATAATGGGAATAATGGGAATAATGGGAATGGGAGAAATGGAGAAAATTGGAATAATAGGAATGGGGGAAATGGGAAAAAAGGGGAAAAGGGGAAAATGGGAATAATAGGAATGGGGAAAATGGGATTGGGATTGGAAATGGGGAAAATGGGGAAAATGGGAATGGGGAGTGCTGGGATCCAGGAAAATCCCAAAATTTGGGGTTTGTGGACTCAAAGAATTCTGGGAGAATCCCAAAATTTGGGGTCGGGGGGAATTCGGGGAGCGCTGGGATCCGGGGGAATCCCAGAATTTTGGGAGGCTGAAAAATCCTGGAAATCCCAAATTTCTGGGGGGAAATCCAGGAAAACTCCAGAATTTTGGGAGCCCAAATCCCAATTTGGTTTTTTTTGGGGAGGGGGAGGACGCCGGGAATTGGGGCAGGGGTCTCCCCACCCCTCCCCCACCCCCGACAGGCCGCGAGCAATCAGGGAGGCTTCATTTGCATCTCATCAGCATCTTATTACCATCTCGTTACCATCTCGTTAGCATGCGATTAGCATCTCATTAGCATCTGATCGAGCTCGGGGGGGGCTCGGTCAGCCAGGTACGCACTGGGGCCGCACAGGTGACCTCCGGGGGGTCCCGGGGGGGCTCTCGGGGGTCCCGGGGGGGCTCCGAGGGGTCCCAGGTGAGCTCCGAGGGGTCCCAGGTGGGCTCTCAGCTTGCCCAGGTGGGCTCTGAGCTTGCCCAGGTGATTTCTCAAGTTGCCCAGGTGAGCTCTGAGCTTGCCCAGATGATTTCTCAAGTTGCCCAGGTGGGCTCTGAGCTTGCCCAGGTGATTTCTCAAGTTGCCCAGGTGAGCTCTGAGCTTGCCCAGATGATTTCTCAAGTTGCCCAGGTGGGCTCTGAGCTTGCCCAGGTGGCGCCCAGCCCGCCCAGGCCGCTCTGCCGTCGCCCATCTGGCCTCGGAAGGTGCCCAGGTTGATGCCCAGGTTGCCCAGGTGGGCGCTCAGGTTGCCCAGCAGGGCGCCCAGGTTGTCCAGGTGGGCGCTCAGGTTGCCCAGGAGGGCGCCCAGCGTGCCCAGGCCGGCCCTGAGCTCGCCCAGGTGGCCGCCGGGCTTGTCCAGGCGCGAGTTGAGGTTGGCCAGGTGGGCCCTGAGCTCGCCCAGGTGCGCTCTGAGGTTGCCCAGGTGGGAGTTGAGCTTGTCCAGGTAAATCGTGAGGTGGCCCAGGCGGTGCTGAGGTGGCCCAGGTGGGCGCTGAGGTGGCCCAGGTGGGCGCTGAGGTGGCCCAGGTGGGCGCTGAGGTGGCCCAGGTGGGAACCGAGGTGGCCCAGGTGGGAGTTGAAGTTGTCCAGGTGGGAATTGAGGTGGTCCAGGTGGGCGCTGCACTTGTCCAGGTGGGAATTGGGGTGGCCCAGGTTGGAGATGAGGTGGCCCAGGTGGGCGTTGAAGTTGTCCAGGTGGGAGTTGAGGTGGCCGAAGTTGGAGATGAGGTTGCCCAGGTGGGAACTGAGGTTGTCCAGGTGGGAATTGAGGTGGCCCAGGTGGGAACTGAGGTGGCCCAGGTGGTCTCTGGGGTGGCCCAGGTTGGAGATGAGGCTGTCCAGGTGGACGCTGAGGTTGCCCAGGTGGGAACTGAGGTGGCCCAGGTGGGAACTGAGGTTGCCCAGCGATCTCTGGCACTGCCCAGGTGGGACTGAGGGTGCCCAGGTGGGTTCTTACACTGCCCAGGGAGCTCTCAGGTTGCCCAGGTGGTCTCTCAGGTGGCCCAGGTTGGAGCTGAGGTGGCCCAGGTGGTCTCTCAGGTGGTCCGGGAGGTCTCTCAGGTGGCCCGGGAGGTCTCTCAGGTTGTCCAGGCTGCAGCTGAGGTTGCCCAGGTGGTCCCTGAGGTTGCCCAGGTTGGAGCTGAGGTGGCCCGGGTGGTATCTCAGGTGGCCCAGGTTGGAGCTGAGGTTGCCCAGGTTGGAGCTGAGGTTGCTCAGGAGGTCTCTCAGGTTGCCCAGGTGGTCCCTGAGGTTGCCCAGGTTGGAGCTGAGGTTGCCCAGGTGGTCCCTGAGGTTGCCCAGGTTGGAGCTGAGGTGGCCCGGGTGGTATCTCAGGTGGCCCAGGTTGGAGCTGAGGTTGCCCAGGTTGGAGCTGAGGTGGCCCGGGAGGTATCTCAGGTGGCCCAGGTGGTATCTCAGGTTGCCCAGGTTGGAGCTGAGGTGGCCCGGGAGGTATCTCAGGTGGCCCAGGTGGTATCTCAGGTTGCCCAGGTTGGAGCTGAGGTGGCCCGGGTGGTCTCTCAGGTGGCCCGGGGAGCTCTGGGTTTGCCCGGGGGGCCCTGAGCGTGCCCAGGTGCAATCTGACGTAGCCCAGGTTGGCTCTGGCGTTGCCCAGCGAGGCTCCCAGGTTGCCCAGGTGGGCCTTGGCGTTGCCCAGGTGGGCTGTGGCATCGCCCAGGCACGTTCCCAGGTTGCCCAGGTAAACGCGCAGGTTGCCCAGGTCATTCTCAGGTGGCCCAGGGGGCTCTGGCATTGCCCAGGTGGGTCCTTGCATTGCCCAGGTGGCTCCGGGGTTGCCCAGGTGGCTCTGGGGTTGCCCAGGTGGGCTCTCAGGTTGCCCAGGTGGGCTCCGGGGTTGCCCAGGTGGCTCTGGGGTTGCCCAGGTGGCTCTGGGGTTGCCCAGGTGGGTGTTGATGTTGCCCAGGTGGTTCTGAGGCTGCCCAGGTAGGTGTTGATGTTGCCCAGGTGGGCTCTCAGGTTGCCCAGGTGGGCTCTCAGGTGCCCCAGGTGGGCTCTCAGGTGGCCCAGGTGGTTCTGAGGCTGCCCAGGTGGGTGTTGATGTTGCCCAGGCAGGTTCCGAGGTTGCCCAGGCAGGTTGTGAGGTTGCCCAGGTGCATCCTGGGATTGCCCAGGTGCATTCTCAGATTGTCCAAGAGGTTCTGAGGTTGCCCAGGTGGGCGCTGAGGTTGCCCAGGTGCATTCCCAGATTGCCCAGCTGGATCTTGAGGTTGCCCAGGTGCATCCTGGGATTGCCCAGGTGCATTCTCAGATTGTCCAAGAGGTTCTGAGGTTGCCCAGGTGGGCGCTGAGGTTGCCCAGGTGGATCCTGGGATTGCCCAGGTGGTTCTGAGGTTGCCCAGGTGGGCTCTGGGGTTGCCCAGGTGGGTGTTGATGTTGCCCAGGCAGATCCTGGCGTTGCCCAGGCAGGTTCCGAGGTTGCCCAGGTGGCTCTGAGGTTGCCCAGGTGCATCCTGGGATTGCCCAGGTGCATTCTCAGATTGTCCAAGAGGTTCTGAGGTTGCCCAGGTGGGCGCTGAGGTTGCCCAGGTGGATCCTGGGATTGCCCAGGTGGTTCTGAGGTTGCCCAGGGGGATCCTGAGGTTGCCCAGGTGGGCTCTCAGGTTGTCCAAAGGGTTCTGAGGTTGCCCAGGTGCATTCTCAGGCTGCCCAGGTGGCTCTGAGCTCGCCCAGGTGGGCTCTCAGGTTGTCCAAGAGGTTCTGAGGTTGCCCAGGTGGGCGCTGAGGTTGCCCAGGTGCATTCCCAGATTGCCCAGCTGGATCTTGAGGTTGCCCAGGTGCATCCTGGGATTGCCCAGGTGCGCTCTCAGGTTGTCCAAGGGGTTCTGAGGTTGCCCAGGTGGGCTCTGTCAGTTCCCAGGCAGGTTCTGAGGTTGCCCAGGTGATGCTGGGGTTGCCCAGGTGGCTCTCAGGTTGCCCAGGTGCATTCTCAGGTTGCCCATGGGGATCCTGGTGTTGCCCAGGTGAGTCCTGAGGTTGCCCAGGTGGATCCAGGGGTTGCCCAGGTGATGGTGGGGTCGCCCAGTGGGCTCTGAGGTTGCCCAGGTGGATCCTGGCATTGCCCAATTAGCTCTGAGCTCGCCCCGGTGTCTCTCAGGTTGCCCAGGTGCACTCTCAGCTTGCCCATGTGGATCCTGAGCTTGCCCAGCTGCATTCCCAGGTTGTCCAGGTGTCTCTCAGGTTGCCCAGCTGCATTCCCAGCTCACCCAGGTGTCTCTCAGGTTGCCCAGGTGTCTCTGGCATTGCCCAGCTGCATTCCCAGGTTGTCCAGGTGTCTCTCAGGTTGCCCAGGTGCATTCCCAGCTCACCCAGGTGTCTCTCAGGTTGCCCAGGTGTCTCTCAGGTTGCCCAGGTGCCTGCCCAGGTTGCCCAGGTGTCTCTGGCATTGCCCAGCTGCATGCCCAGGTTGCCCAGGTGTCTCTGGCATTGCCCAGGTGTCTCTCAGGTTGCCCAGGTGTCTCTCAGGTTGCCCAGGTGTCTCTCAGGTTGCCCAGGTGCATTCCCAGCTTGCCCAGGTGTCTCTGGCATTGCCCAGGTGTCTCTCAGGTTGCCCACATGGTCTCTCAGCTCGCCCAGGTGGTCTCTCAGAGGTTGCCCAGGTGCATGCCCAGGTTGCCCAGGTGTCTCTCAGGTTGCCCAGCTGCATGCCCAGGTTGCCCA